GAACGGTCTGCGGCACCGGCGCAAGTGACTCAGTCACAGCAAATTGCGTCAAGTAATGAATTACTTTCTGTTGAGCGAGCTTCTTCTCCTGGGACTCATGCGATAGAGACTCTGAGCTCCGAGATGTCGCGACCAGGTGATGTGTCTTGCACAGAGCGTTTAGTAACATCCAGTTGCAGAGCATTGCGAGAGTACGTGGCTCCAGAACATGCACGCACAGAGGACTGTCCAGTAGCACGACGTGGTCGTGCGAATCAAATGCCTTCATGGTTTAGTGATTACATCTGCATTGGATACTCAAGCATGAACTCAAATGAGCATGGGAGTGTGTCTTTATCATGAAAAAGGCTCGTGGAGAAATGCAGAAAGATATTAACTAGGAGCAAGCACTGGCATGGTGGCAGGCCTACTGCTGACTGATAATGAGTGTGACACAAGAGCCTGAGTCGTATAATAAAAAGTGAGCAATCTGTGGAGTGGAGTCGTGCTGCTCAGAAGAGTATGACGCCTTAATGAAGAACTGTACGTGGGAATTAATGCCCAGAGTCTCAAACATGTAAGTACTTCGGAGTCGCTGGGTGTTTCGTGTCAAATATCTGGCAGATGGAAACATTGACATATTCAAGGCAAGACGGGTGATCAAAGGCTTCATGCAAGTCTTTGGTATTGTTTGTCTTGAAGTTTATTCTTCTGTGGTGAGACTGGTAAATCTCAAAGTCTTGTTGACTCTAGCTGCTGTGTGGAACTACGAGGCTCACCAAATGGACGTGACAACCGCATTTCTGAATGGTAAGATTGATGTGGAGGTCTACATGGAGCAGCCGGAGGGTTTTCGAGTACCTGGTAAAGAAAAATTGGGTATGTCGTTTGCTTAAAAAGCTTGTATGGCTTCAAGCAAGTGCCACGTGTGTAGTTTCAGCTGTTGAAATCGTTCTCGGAGGAGCAAGGATTTACACTATTTAAGTGCTGCTGTGAAGATTACTGAAGGAGAGCTAGTGTTTATCCTGTTGTATGTGGATGATCTCATTTTGTTTGCACCGAATATGAAGCCTATCAATGAGATGTAGCAAATATTCTTCGAGCGATTCGAGATGAAGGATCTCGGTGAAGTACATTACATATTAGGATGGGAAGCCACACGCTACAGAAGTGAACGAACAAATTTCATTAGTTAGTAGAAGTATGCTACGTCGGTTTTGGAGCGATTCAGAATGAAGGAATGTAATGGATGTAAAACACCTTGTGCACCCAGCTTGAAACTGACGAAGGCATGTGCGCTGCTGATGTTGACGAGAAGGATTTGATGAAAGCAAAACCGCATCGATCCGTAGTAGGAAGTTTTATGTGATTTATGATGGGGTTCACGTCCAGACATGGTCTATTTAGATTGTGAATGTAGTCAGTTTCTGGAGAATCCGGGAATACTGCATTGGCGGGCAGCAAAGCGAGGGCTAAGGTATTTACGCGAGATAGGATTCGTCTCGGTGGATTGAAGTGGACGAATCAAGACTTGGATCGGCATATTAAGGCATTTGCAGATGCAACTTTGCTAACCGAACATACGACAGGAAGTCTGCTGTAGGTTATCTAACGAAGTTTTGTGGTTGTACTATTTTGTGGAGTAGTCAGACTGAGAAGACAGTCGCTCTACATACCACAGGGGCCGAGTACATGGCCATAAGCCTACTTGTGCATCTTCGTCAAATGTTGGAAGAATTGAAAGTGCATCAAAAGAAAGCAACTGATCTTTTCGTGGACAATGAAAGTGCCAAGAAGCTTTGGAATAATCCAGCATTTCACAGTCACACGAACCACATTGATGTGCGTCATCATATCATCCGAGAGCGTGTAGACATGAAAGCGATTGTTGCTGCTCGTGTTCCTGGAACTGACAATGTGTCAGAAGCATTTACGAAACCCCTTCCCAGAGCTGTTTTTGAGAAACACAGACAAGCTATGGGATTTATGAAAAGTGAGGAATTTGAAGCTAGTCTACAGCCGTGAAGTCAAGTAGGTGGGGCTATTGTGGTAGTGTACTGATCTTCCTATTAACAGTTGAGGTACATGTAGGTGTGAGACTAAACACGCAGGAGGGAAGAGAGAGCTCACTCAACAAAATAACAATAAACACAAAGGTGGCATTTGCCGCCAACCTGGTGCTGACTCTTTCTTACATTGTCTTCTCTTCTTCCTGAATCTAGACACTAACAAGCAAACCCACTTTTCTACCTCAATATATTTTATATATAGCGTTTGCACTTCAGATTTTGCTTAGCAATTAAGCTCTTACCCATTCTTATTCCTTACTTCGGTCCCATGATATCTTGAATGTTGCGCACCCAGATTGCTTCTGCACAGGTAAACTGAAGGAAACACCATCATAAAGCATTCAAACACCATTCATACGCTTCCATATATAATAATCCCCGTAGCCTCGAATCACTCCGGTGTTAGTAAATGATGTCGATGTAGGTTATGAAGTATACAACCACCAATGCTTCGGCATTGACTGCGATCTGGATATCTCATTCACCGTCGTACATGCTCGGTATAATAGCTCCGAAAATTTCACGCGTTCGCGCTTCGTTTCACCATCATCCTGGTTCACCAGTTGATCAAATATCGCATCGGCGTGGCGACGCCGGTACGAGTGGCAGTGGCATAGGTCGTGCCGGTGCATTCCGTGCCGCACGGTGGCAACACTAGACCAACTCTGAAACCGGATCGGGCAGAAACACGCACCAGCTCGGACGACCCGGGCAGCACCAGCGGGGTACCAGAGGTTCTACGGCGCATGGTCAACGCAAAAGTTACACTAACGAGCTTGATTGGAGTCTCCACTTGAACAGGTCGATCAATGGTAGTTGTATTCAATTCGCTCCACGTTCCAAGTTATTATTACGTGGGCCACTAACATACCGAAAGTACCGATACCAACGATGATACCCGCTAATAACAGTTAGGATTTCGCGGTTTATCATGACGCTCTGTGCGACACCTACAAAGTTTAATCTTTGTTAGAACCTCAAATAGTTTTTTAGTAGTATCAAATGCTACCTCTGGCCCGAAATGATGGATAGTTTCATTTAAAAGAATTTAAAAAAATCAGCAATTGTTTAAAAATCTAATTGGCCCAACAGGAGCGCGTATTCGCCAGCTAATGTCTGGTGGTTTCATTGGCGCTGAAAGCGTACTGGGGGCCGAGCTACAAGTATTTGAATAGCCGACCACCCTCTACCTCATTTTCCAACTACCCGCTCAGCTAACACTACGATCTATCAGTTTTTCTCGACTTCTCTATGACCAACCTGACCGATTGCCAACGCCGTTGCACCATCGACGAGCTCCTAAAACTTTGTATTGGCGGAGATCTACCTCATGGAGCAATGGCGGCCGTCGCCATAGACTTTAAGCGCAGCCCATCCACCATCGGCAAAATCTGGACCCGCTATTGCATCAGCGTCACCGCAGGGGTAGAAGGAGAAGAGTGGCAAAGTCGCATCAAGGAAAACTCCGGTAGAAAAAGGAAGGACAGGTCGACATGCATCGCGCGACTGCAAGAACTTCCGATAGAAGATCGCTCGGTTGAACGTCGAGCTGCCGGGCTGGCTGGCTCGCTTGTGGCTGAGGGCGAGCTGGTGAGGAAGGCGGCGCGCATCTGGCCTACATTGACACAAAAAAAACAAGTTGGATAGGGTGGAGCATGTGCTCACCTTTATCAACGACGACACGGTCGAGTTCGAGCAGCTGGACGACGTGGCCCTCGTAGATGAAAATGGTTCTATGAGGACAAGGATAAGCGAAGCTACTTACTGTTTCCTGGAGAAAACCCGCCACACCGCACCCGGAAGAGCAAGAGGCTCATTCCGAAGACCATGTTCCTCGCAGCCGTAGCCCGACTGAGGTAAAGCCCGTTATATATTAAATGTTACACAAATAAAGTGACCTTTAAATTTATGTAATTATATTTGACCCGCATCGTAAGTGCCGTTGGAGCGGAAAGCTGGGACTGTGGTCACTGACGGAGGAGTACATCGCCAAGAGAAGCTGGAGCCGCCCCAAAGGAGCTGTGCACACACGCATTATTGAAGTGGTGAATCGAGCTGTTTTCAAGGACATTTTATATAATTGCTTATGCTTGTTATCAAGGAGCATTGGCCTTGTGGAGACAGACGGCGCCCTATCCTCATCCAAGTCGATAACGCTAAGCCCACGTGTCTCCCCTAGACCCTGACATTGCTGCTGCGGGATGTGAAGGTGGGTGGTGCATCCGTCTGCTGTGCCAGCCTGGCAACTCGCCGGACCTTAATGTGCTGGACCTTGGTCTCTTCAATGCAATCCAGAGCATCCAAAGCCGCATGCCCACCCATGGAATCGACAATCTCATCAAGGTTGTTCAAGATGCGTACGAAGACATGAGTGAAGACACACTGGGCAGCATATTTCTGACTTTGCAGAGCTGTGTGATATGCGTGCTTCAACAACAGGGTGGGAATCAGTATACCTTGCCACACCTAGGAAAAGACAAGCAGCAGAGGAGAGGTCTTTTTCCTCAAGTACTAGAATGCGAAAGAAGCTTGTACGACAGAGCCAAGACAAAGCCTAGTGAGGCTGGCCGTCCAAGTCTCATTTTCTTTGAGTCAAAGAACAAGTAATACCTGTTAAAGATGATCTGAACGTTCTAGCAAAACAAAACTAGTTGCTTTGAGCCTTTAATTTTTCATATACCATCCTGTAGCATACTATCCATCATTTCGGATCCGAGGTAGTACTACTTGGTAAATTACTACGGATTAATATTAGTAGTGGTAAAACCAAAAGTATACAGGTATACTCGAACTGTAGCTGCATAAAAATCAGGAGATGTATCTTGATTTTCTGGTGTGAATTTTCAGCCACAACACTTTTGGGTGTATTCCACACCAGCTGTTCTCTGTTCGCAAGGGGAGAGGTCGCCATAGCGAAAACGGCGCCGACTGACTGGGTTGATAGCTACACCCATGACTGGACGAAGCCTCCTGCTGCTGGCCGTTTTGGCGGCCGTAGCGCTACTGCAGCACATGACAGCGGGCGCGGCCGTCGACGGCGTGATTATTGTGCGCGGCAACAAGCTCTACAATGCCAAGTCGGGCGAGCGTTTTTTCATCAAAGGGGTACGTTCGATCGCCTTAAAAAACCTAAAAGATAGGAAGGAGTCAGCCGCTACAATCTAACAGCAAAGCTCTGTTCCGCATTCGATGGGGATATACTAGTACTGATGACTGCTATCTGCCTCGTAGCTGACGTACGAGTACGCCGTGAGCGATGACTACTATGACAAGTACTCGAAGGCTGTGATCGAGGAAAATCTCGCGGGCCTCAAGTACAACACACTGCGTCTGTACAACATCAACCCCGGTTCTTCGTACAAGAAGTTCATGAATGACATGGCTGCACTCGGTGTCTACGTCATGGTCTCGGCCTCGCCTGACAACGATGCATACTACGGGAAATATCGGTACTCGACCATCACTAAGAAACTGAGTTGCTCGGGTAAAGTATCCACTGGCGATGGTGCCAAGACTGTGGACCAGACTGAGACCTGTTACCCGGCACTGCTGCTTGAATATGGCAAGAAGATTATCCAGAATTTTGCCCAGTACGACAACACCCTGGGCGTCGTTGTGGCCAACGAAATCATGCAGGCCGATCTCACGGCTGCCTCTTGTGTTAAGGCGTACGTAGCAGACCTAAAGAATTGGATGTCGGTCAATGGCAAGAAGATACGACTTCTACCGCTCGCATACGCTGCGGCTGACAGTAGTAACGATGATGTAAGCAACGCAGACGACTATCACGTGATGAAGGTCCAGGGACTGCTTTGCGGAGACAAGATGACCAACGGAATGATGGCAGAGAGTATTGATATATACCTTATCAATGAGTACCGTTGGTGTCCTGATTCGACGTTTGCAGAGGCATACCAGCGCTACATTGACATGGCGCAGGGTATTCCTGTCGTCGTTGCTTTCGGCGAGTATGGCTGTAAGACTTCTTCAGCTAGCCCGCGTGACTGGGGAATGGTTCCGTACATGTACCAAGAGCCCTCGAAGACCAAGGAGTTTACCGCCGTTTGGTCTGGTGGCCTGGCTTACTCGTATGGTGAAGCCAAGCTCGCAAAGGACTCGCTGTTCCCAATGTTCACAGGTACGATTCGTGTGCAGCTTTCTTGAGTGGAGTGGATAACCTAACGTTTGAATTCAATATGTAGGCGGCAGCACTGATTTTTTGTCAACGCCCAGTTCGAAGGCATCAACAGATTTCACGAACCTGAAGGCCCAATTTGCAAAGTACTCTGGCTACAAGGACGACGCAGAGTGGACTGACAGCACCAAGTGTTACGTGGAAACCTTCTGTAGAAACGAAGACACAGTCGACTAACAAGCTGGCGACAAAATATGGCTGGATCGTGAGCAGTTGCTCGGCGAGCAACCTAAAGATCGCCAGCACAGACTCGTGGACGTGCTCCAGCCGTGAAGGCGTGGTATGCACGGACGATGGCGGCAAATGTGATGTTGCTCTTAAAGGTACCGTCGGTACGACCCAGGAGGACATTTGCGGCTCTTACGAGGTTACTAGTGGTGGTGGCACTTGCGAGAGCACGTCTGACTGCGGTGGCAACGGCCAGTGCAAGGAATCGAACGGCACCATGTCGTGCAGCTGTTTGTCCTGTTACACGGGCACCGACTGCAGCGTAAAGGACATTACCTCCTGTGCAACTCTGAGTAGCTCGGACACAGCCCCTCAGAAGATTTTTGTGGGCATTGGTGTGTTCCTGGGTGTTATGGCGGTGGTCTTTATCGCCCTTGGTGTTGCCGCCGCCAAGAAGAAATCTGGTAAGTGTCGTTCTTCGGTGGTCTTATTGTGCTATTCTGTTTCCCTGACGCTGTGATGGTCGTGCTCATGTGATGTAGAAACGGACAGATTTGCGCAGCAAGTGAAGGCTGGAGGCAGCACCCAAACGACTGATGCTTCTTTGTAGAAGCACTAGGTCTGCTGTAAAATGTAGCGAGCAAGTTTTGCTCACATCTTCCAATAATGAAGCTTTCCTTGGTTTATTTGACAGCAAAGACGATTATCTATAACCTGCTTAAAGTTTATCACCCAACGAGTGAGCAGGGTCAATCCAATTTTATAATTTAATCCTCGGGAACATGGGTTAAGCAAAAGAGAGACAAGCTCAGCGCCATTCGCTTATCGTCTCAAAGACTCTGCATCGAAGTCCGCCACCATGCCGCCCAAGGGAAAGAAGACTGAAGAAGTATGATAACCTGATCCTTTTCTCTCTAACTGTAAGACATTCTCTAACGGTACTCTTAACCCCTCCGTAGCCTTCCCGCACGTACCTGGGTCGCCCCGGTAACAATGTCAAGATCGGCATTGTGGGTGTGCCCAACGTGGGCAAGAGCACCTTCTTCAACTGCTTGTCGAAGCTGCATATCCCTGCCGAGAACTTCCCCTTCTGTACCATCGACCCCAATGACGCCGTGGTGCCGCTGCCCGACCAGCGTTTCAACTGGCTCGTTGAAAAGTACCAGCCCACGAGCGTCGTGCCTCCCGTCATCTCCATCACGGACATCGCCGGCCTTGTGCGCGGTGCCGCTGATGGTGCTGGTCTGGGCAATGCCTTCTTGTCGCATATCCAGGCCGTGGACGCCATTTACCACATGGTGCGCGCCTTCGACTCGACCGAGGTGACCCACGTGGAGGGCAACGTGGACCCTGTGCGTGACATGAAGATCATCCAGGAGGAGCTGCGTCTCAAGGACATTGAGCGCGTCAAGAAGGAGTCGGCTGGTGTCAAGAAGCTCGCGGAGCGTGGCGTTGGCGGCAAGGAGAAGAAGCTCGAGTATGAGGCGCTATGCAAGATCCTGGAGTGGCTCGAGTCGGGCAAGGACGTGTCTTTCGGCACGTGGACGGCCCAGGAGGTGGAGATCCTTAACACCATGCAGCTACTGACCGCCAAGCCCGTCGTGTACCTCATCAACGTGAGCAAGCGCGACTACTTGCGCAAGAGTAACAAGTACCTGCCCCAGATCGCAGAGTACATCAAGGAGCGCGGCGGCAATGAGCCTGTGATCCCGCTCAGTTGCGAGTTCGAGCTTGAGCTGCTCGATCTCGAGGCTGCTGATCAGCTGGAGACGTACTTCAAGGAGAACCCGACGCACAAGTCGATCCTAAACCGCGTGCTCCGCATGGGTTACCACGCTCTTGGCCTGGTCCACTTCTTCACTGCTGGCAAGGACGAGGTGCGTGGCTGGACTATCCGCAAGGGGCGACTGGCACCTCAGGCTGCCGGTGTCATCCACACGGACTTTGAGAAGGGCTTCATTATGGCGGAAGTCCAGTCGTTTGCCGACCTGAAAGAGCGTACGTTTGGCTTCCTATTACTAACTGCTGTGTTATGATTACCGAGGTCTAACAATGTTTTTAATACTCTGCAGTTGGTACGGAGGAGGCTGTCAAGAAGGCAGGCAAGCTCAAACAGCAGGGCAAGAAGTACGAGGTCCAGGACGGCGACATTATTTTCTTCAAGTTCAACAACTAAGTGGATCAACTGCCCGTGGTGTTGAGTTGGACAATGTGGTGCTAAGGCCTCCACTCCTTTTTATGAGTGGCTCGTGCTTTTCTAAGTGCCCGTTGCAGATGATGTATGGGCGTCTAGAGCATGTGGACTTGAAGAGCGGGAGGGAGTGCGGAGCTTTCCGCTATGAAAATAAAGCATGCGCTTTGAGCACAATGGTGTTCTGGTATACAGCAGCGTGTTGGCGCTCGTTTGCCTGCAAGACTAACTATAACGGATGTGATGAAGGGACTACAAATATCTTGGATCTGTGTAGCCCGTCGCGCCTTTTGAATGGCGTCGAGAACCGACTCATCGCGTGTGTGAATAGCGGTTTTTGCTTTTATCCAGGGTGAGGGGGCAGTATTGTCAGGACCAGAAGTTTAAGCCTTGAAGTCGACAGCGTGAAAAGAGCTCCATTCGAGAGAAAAATTCCACTCTAGGTAGACCCCAGCACTGGCAAAGCCGAGATGGTGCGTACTTGAGCTTGAGTATCGGTGATTCGAAGTAGTTTTGTTTTAAAAATGACATTTGTTAGCCGATCGGGTACGGATGTGAGCCAGAGTTAGTGTGGATTGCACCCAAGCAAAATGGAGAGATTCCTGTGAAGCGGTCAGGGCATTCTTTCACACTGCAAAGCTCGGACACAGAGACTGCAGTCTACATGTTCGGTGGTTGCGATCACAAATCGCCTCCAGGGCCTACCAACGAACTGTACCGACTTGATGCTAGCAATGGTAGGGGAAATCCTGTCAGCTCGCAATGTGTTAGTACCAATGTAACGCTGTTAATGTAATTGCAAGGATACACGTGGTCCAAGGTAACAAGCTCTCAGAGTGAAGACGAAGTACCCGCTCCAAGATGGCGGCACTCCGCTATTCTCTATGAGAAGAACATCATCATCTTCGGAGGGTTTGCAGCTGAAAAGAGAATGAATGATCTCTGGGTTTTTAAAACCGAGCTGAAGGTGTGGGAGCAGAAGTATGCTCAGAGTTTCTGGGAAGGGCTACCGCAGTGCCGTGGTGCACATAGTGCCACACTTGTCGGTGAGAAGATGTACGTGTTCGGCGGTTATGGTGGAAATGGCTTCGGTCGTACCGACTTCAATGACCTGCACGCGTTGGATTTACATTCATTCAAGTGGCAAGAGATTCAAACGGACGGTGAAAAGCCTGAGCCTCGGTCGGGACACCAGACGTGCTTGGTCAAAGAGCAACTGTTGGTCATTGGCGGATGGAACAGCTTCAAGCAGTTCCAAGACATCTTCGTCTTTGACTTGCCTACAAAGACGTGGAGTTTGTTGAGCACACCACTGTATTCTCCAATCTGGAACCACACGTGTGTCAGTGTTGCAGCTGTACCACACTGGAAAGTGTTCTTGTTTGGAGGCAACAGTGGCGATTTAGCCGAGTCCGGAACTGCGCAGGGAGCGTACTTGAACAGCACTGCTGTATTGGACACTGGCAGTATGGTGTGGTTGAACCCTCCTGTAAAAGGTGAACTACCGAAGGCTCGGGCTGATACTGCCATGGTTTTTGATTCACATACCAATCACTTGATCTTCTTTGGAGGGTGGGCGAATCGCTGGTATAACGACTTGCACGTCCTCAACGCAAGCGAAATTGTCGGACCTCCGTACTCGATTTCATCGATCGAACCGAAGCAAGGACCGATCACGGGAAGCGCAAAGGTAAAAGTGACTGGATTCAACTTCACAGGACAAAATGCAACGCTGCGGTTTGCGGTTGCGAAGGGTTCTGTCGATGTCACGGGTGCTGTCCTTAGTCCGACTGTTCTTCAGGCTACCGCTCCCAGCTATGAGAAGTTTGGTCCGCTGACTTCAGAGGTTCGAGTATCATTGTCGGGTGGCATGTACACCAACGTAGCGACGTCTTTTCGCTTCCACTCAGTCACAGCAGCTCCAAAGTCGCTTGCGTTTGGTCCGTGTCTGATCGCTGCGCTTAACGACAACTGCTTGGCCGAGTTGCCAACAACATTCATCATCCAGTCTCGAGACAAGGACGACAATCCGCGCGACTGTGGAGGAGATGAGTTTGCTATCACCCTGAAGTACTGTGATGATCCTCAAGCCGAAGTGGAGCAGGTTGCTTCTATCCTCGACAAGAACGATGGCACGTATGTGGTGACGTTTACTCCATCTAGAGCAGGGAAATATGAGATTTCGGTGGACTTTATGGGCACATTCAGCGGTGTCGCCGGCCCTCTCCGAGGATCCCCGTTTCCTGCGGTGTTCCAGCCCCCGTCAGATGATAACAAGGCAAAGTCATTACCACCGCTTGCCACTCAAAAGGACTTCGACTCGCCCGAGGTTATTAGACGCGTTATGGCGACGATGAACAAGCGCAACGGAGAGTTCCGCCGAATCCTGGTTGACCTTCGGAAAGACATTCCAAGTAACGATACGGACGGACTGGAAACTCTGCGGAAGATGAAAGAAATAATCCGTAAACTCGAGGTAGACAAGGATATAAACCACTTAGTTCTGGACCAAGTGCGCCAGCTTTTTTTCAGCATCAAGAAGAGCGGAGGCCATGTCGATAAAGAGCTGGTTGAAATCGAGAACATGGAGAAGCTCTTCGTCGATGTCGAGAAACAAATTCCAGTGACTGAGAAGCGCACACAGGAACCAACGCGCATATTCAGCGAGAAGACTGAGGAAAAGATCATCGCGTACGAGAAGATGATCGCACAAAAGATGGAGACACTTAAGACGCTGGACTTTTGGTCCTCTAAGCTGGAGCCTGATAAAGGTCTGGAGAAGATCGAAAGCTACCTCGTGGACTGGAACATGGAGATGAGGAAGTGTGAAGAAAACACCAAGCTGTGCTCCATCTTTGGATTCCCGCAGCTCATGAATGAATCGCTGCGTATGATGGGTCTAATGCGTGCAGATGCAGATGCAATGAAAACTGTCTGGGCAATTATCAAGCGTGCAAAGGCGTTTTTCAAGGCCACGCAAGACATTTTGTTTAAAGAAGTCGACGTGAACGCGCTGCAGATCGAGGTTCAATCAGCGTTAAAAGAGCTCAAGAAGATCCCTAAAGGCATTCAGTGGAGTGATGCATACACTTCGATCTTGAAGGAATGCCAGGCGTTTGACAAGACCCACCCGCTTATCCGCTGTGTATGGTCAAGCTACATGCGGCCGAGACACTGGAAGCGTATCATGGCTCACACTGGGGAATTTCCTACGCCGGACGAAGATCCTGAGCAACGACTCTCTTTGATTATGAGTAAAAATCTCTTCAACTTTAGCTCAGACATCAACGAGATTTGCTACGAAGCAGAGAAGGAACAAGAGCTGGAACTCCGTTTGATCGAGCTCGAGGCTCTGTGGGCAGAGGTGAACTGGGAAATGACACCATACAATCCAGGTGCTGCAGAAGAAGAAATCGTGCCGCTTCTTAAGGTGTCAGAAGAAAACTTTGAGCTCCTTGAGACCCACCAAATCGATGTGCAAGGTATGAGTGCGTCACCATACCAGTCCGAGTTCGAGCCTCGCGTCGGCAAGCTTCAGATCGGTCTTTCCTCCATCAATGAAGTCGTGCTGTTGCTGGGTGATATCCAGAGATCCTGGAGTTATTTGGAACCACTGTTTATCCAGTCTGAAGAAGTGAAGAAGCAGTTGCCCGAGCTGACGTCCGACTTCGAAGACATCGATAGAGAAGTTCGCCAGATCTTGAAAACTGCCTGGATAACGCTTAATGTGCAGGAGGCATGTACCGAGCCCGGTCTCATCAAGCGTCTAGAGGTGATCGTGGAGAAGCTGGAGCTATGCAAGCACCGCCTGAAAGAGTTCCTCGACGGGCGTCGGCGCCAGTTTCCTCGTTTCTACTTTATGTCCGAAGCAGATCTGCTCGATATCCTGTCGAACGGGTCTCATCCGGACCGTATTATGCCCCACTGCTCCAAAATCTACCTGGCAACAAAGACGCTCACACTCGTGGACCGTGGGCCTGGAGAACGGCCCGTCGCAACGTCTTTTGTGGCCGGTGTGGGTCACGAAATCGTCGACTTCTTCGAGCCTCCAGTGCTAGAAGGAGAGGCCGAGATCTATCTGGAGACTATCATGCGTGCGATGAGATTGACGCTATTCAAGCACATTGAGCGCTCTCTCGTTGCCTACATGGAAATGCCTCGTGTTGATTGGATTAACTTTAAGGATGATACAAATAAGCCCATGGATGCAGCCCAGATCATCCTGCTCGCAGCAGGAGTCCACTATGTTCAAGAAGTTGAGCGTGCTTTCCGTGGCATCCAAGGTGGTGATAAAGATGCCTTGATAAATTACAACAAGATGCAGGAGCAACAACTCGAGGACCTGATCAAGCTGACTCAAAGCAACATTTCGTATGCCGAACGTCAGCGAGTGATGGTGCTTATTACGATGGACGCCCACGGTCGAGACATTGTGGCTAATATGATTCGTGGAGGAGTGGACGAGGCGACGCACTTCCAGTGGCAATCTCAGCTTAAGCACTACTTCTCCCCAGCAGCAGGCAGTTTCTTGAAGCGTGATATGACCTTCCGTGGAGCAAACAACGCACGAGCTCAGATCCTCATCTGTGACGCTGGCATTCCGTACGACTACGAGTACCTTGGAAACGGTCCTCGACTTGTGATTACCCCACTGACAGATCGAATCTACGTGACGGCAACACAGGCACTAAACTTGCAAATGGGATGTGCTCCTGCTGGTCCCGCTGGTACAGGTAAAACGGAGACGACCAAGGATTTGGCCAATGCTCTGGGAAAAGTATGCTACGTGTTTAACTGCTCGCCCGAAATGGATTTCAAGAGTCTTGGGAACATTTTCAAAGGTCTCGCGTCGTCCGGCTCATGGGGTTGCTTCGATGAATTTAATCGCCTTGTACCAGAGGTGTTATCAGTGTGTTCTGTCCAGTTCAAAGCTGTGTGCGATGCATGCAAAGCTGACGACGAGGAATTTGTCTTGGAGAACGACGAGGTGATGCTAGACCCTACAGTTGGTGCATTCATTACTATGAACCCCGGTTATCTTGGACGCTCCGAGCTGCCTGAAGGACTGAAGGCTCTGTTCCGACCCATGACAGTCATGGTGCCTGATCTTGTGCTGATCTGCGAGAACATGCTAATGGCAGAAGGATTCACTCAGGCCAAGATCCTGGCGTCGAAGTTTTACGGCTTGTACTCTTTGCTTGGACAACTCCTGTCCAAACAATTGCACTACGATTGGGGTCTTCGAGCTGTCAAGAGTGTCTTGTGCGTCGCTGGAGCTTTCAAGCGTGCCGAGCCAGACATTCCGGAGACCGATTTGCTCATGCGTGCGTTGCGAGACTTTAACATCCCAAAAATCGTCGCAGAGGATATGGTGATTTTCTTCGGTCTTCTTGGAGATTTATTCCCGCGCGACAGTCCGAATGTAGACGTACGCAATGATCCTCCTCGTAAGCGTGATATGGAGCTGGAATCCATGGTACAAGGTGCGTCAGAAGCTATTGGTAACACGCCTCGTCCAGAATTTATGCTGAAGGTTGTGCAGCTATCGGAGCTGCTCGCAATTCGTCACTGCGTCTTCGTGATGGGACCTCCTGCTTCGGGTAAAACGGAGACGTGGAAGACTTTGAGAAAGGCTCGCGAGATCATGGGCACACCGATGGAAGTGCAAGATTTGAACCCGAAATCGGTTAGTACCAACGAACTCTACGGATACATTGTGCTGAAAACGCGCGAGTGGAAAGATGGTCTGCTCTCGCGCATCATGCGTGACCTGGGCTCACGACGTCGTGATAACGGGGATGAAGATAACAACCCCAAGTGGATTATTCTAGACGGAGACCTTGATGCCAATTGGATCGAGTCCATGAACTCGGTCATGGACGATAACAGGATGCTGACTCTGGCCTCGAACGAGCGTATTCCATTGAAAGTGCACATGCGAATGATCTTCGAGATCCGTGATCTGGTGTACGCCACGCCGGCTACCGTGTCACGTGCCGGTATCCTGTACATTTCAACGTCTGAAGGCTACCAGTGGCGCTGCTTGATAGACAGTTGGCTTGATCGCCACTGCCAGCCACCGGCTGATCATCGATTGAGAAATATGATGTTTACGCCGGACACACACGCTAAGTTTCAAGGACTTTTCGATCAGTATGTTGAGACGACGCTCAGATTCTTCCGCAAGAAACTAGTTCCTGTTGTGCCCGTGGAAGAGACGACGTTGGTGACCAACTTGTTGAACATGATCGACTGTCTGTTGACTCCTCAAGTCCTGGAAGACTACACTGTGATGCAAAACACGTTTGTGTTCTGCTGCGTGTGGTCATTTGGCTCTATTCTTACGATGAGTGACGATGGTACGGACTACTCGGCAGAATTCAGCAACTGGTGGAAGAATCAGTGGAAGGACGTGAAGCTCGTGGCTTCGGCTAGCAACACGGTGTTTGATTTCTGGTTGGACCCAGAGACTTCCAAGTTCAATTCATGGTCCAAGAGTCCATACTTCTACACAGAGACGTACGTATCCCCCAGTCCAATCAACCAGATCACGGTTCCTACCACCGAAACAGCATCAATCGCATTCTGGCTCGAAAATTTAATCTCCAAGAGTGTTCCTGTGATGGTGTGTGGGCCTGCAGGTACCGGTAAGACGCAGAACATCATGGGTATGCTAAAGAAGCTCAGCAAAGATGAAGCTACAGCTGCATTCCGGTACTGCACTATCAATTTCAACTTCTACACTACAAGTGCCATTCTACAGCAGACCATGTTCGGACAGCTTGAACGTAAAACTGGTATCAATTTGGGCCCCCCAGGCAAGGCAAGACTTATCTACTTCATGGATGATCTGAATCTACCCGAAGTGGACCCGTACAACACACAGAGTGCTATCTCGCTGCTACGGCAGGTGATGGAGTACAAGCATTGGTTTGACCGAGTTAAGCTTCAGACACAGAACATCTTGAACACGCAAGTGGTCTCCGGTATGAACCCAACAGCCGGCTCATTCCTGGTCGATCCGCGTCTTCAGCGGCATTTCTGTACGTTCGCTATGGGTATGCCTGAAGCGCCAAGTCTCGTCACGATTTATGAGACGTTCCTGGGTGGTCATCTGTCGGGATTCGCGGATGAACTGAGCAATTCACAGTTCTCCAATGCGCTTATCAAGGCTGCGCTGAGTCTCCATGCCAGTGTTGTGGGCACGTTCCGTAAAACTGCGGCGAATTTCCACTATGAGTTCAACGTTCGCCACTTGTCCAATGTGTTCCAGGGACTCATTGCATCCAAGAAAGATCGATTCAATAGCCAGGAGAAATTCGTGCTGCTGTGGCTGCACGAGAGTGAGCGTGTGTATGGTGACCGACTGGTGTGTAAAGCTGATATCGAGAAGTACAACCAGCTAGTGCAGATGCAAGTGAAAAAGTCGTTCGCGTCGTGTAACACGAGTCGATATTATGCTGCGGAGAACTCTTGGCCGCTCATTTTCTGCCACTTCACGAAAGACGGAGACAGTGAATATGATCAGATCATGGGGACAAACTTGGACGATCTCAAAATGAACTTGCAAGTCCAATTACGGGAATACAACAACAACGAGAACAACACGGCGATGCAGCTAGATCTATTCGACGATGCTGTGAAACACGTGGCTCGTATTGTTCGTATCCTGCGTAATGAGAGTGGACATGCGCTACTAGTCGGTGTGGGAGGCAGTGGTAAGCGCTCATTAGCACGCCTAGCTTCGCACATTTGTGGCTGTACTGTTCGTCAGATTACCATCAGCTCCAAGTACGGCGAGAACGAATTCAAGGAAGATCTACGCAAGATGCACATGGCAGTGGTGGAGATGCTGTCTCGTAACGAAGAGGACGGAGGCGTCGTGTTCATGCTTACGGATTCTCAGATTACCAACGAAAAATTCCTCATCTACTTGAATGATCTGCTAGCCTCTGGAGAGATTCCAGATCTATTTGCCATGGAAGATATGGACAATATCGTCAACTTACTGTCGCCTGTGGCGGGTACAAAAGACCGGAAGGAAGTCATCAAGTTCTTCCAAGCTGAGATCCGTAAGCGTCTCCACTTGTGTCTATGCTTCTCGCCTGTGGGCGATGACTTTCGTAATCGTGCACGCAAGTTCCCTGCTCTTGTAAACTGCACGGTTATCGATTGGTTCCAGCCGTGGCCTAAGGAAGCTTTGCTGTCTGTCGGTCGCGAGAAACTAAAGGAGATTGGAGACTTACTTGGATCAGAAGAATCACGCGCTGGTATCGAGAAGTTTATGCCGCTCTCGTTCCAGTCGGTAAACATCTGTGCGGAGCGGTTCCTCCAGGTCGAACGTCGACATGTCTACACGACACCGAAGTCGTATCTGGAGCTGCTACAGCTGTACAAGAAGATTCTGCGCAAGAAAGTGGAGGAATATGCTGCAGCTATCGATCGCTTAGAGAAAGGCTTGCAGAAACTCAAAGAAACGGGAGACACAGTATCACGACTTGAGGTGGAGCTCAAGGTCATTCTGGAGGCTGCTGAAGACAAAAAGGCAGTGGCGTCTGGTATCGCCGAAGCTGTCAACAAAGAGAAAGCTAATGTGGAAACTGAGAGTAAAAAGGCTGGCGACGAAGCTGCCAAGTGTGCTATTATCCAGACAGAGGTCACGGAGAAGCAGAGATCAACTCAGGAAGATCTCGCAAAGGCTGAGCCTGCCGTCGCACAGGCCATGGCTGCTCTGGACTCGTTGAACAAGAAAGATCTGGGCGAGTGTAAGACTATGTCGAAGCCTCCTGCTGGCGTAGACGACGTCTTCTCAGCCACGATGGTGCTGCTAGCTGGTGTGCACCCGAACGTACAGGTCACTAAGACTGGTAAAGTGAAGGATGTCAAGTGGGATACTGTCAAGAAGCAGCTTCTTGGTAATATTCCGGAGTACATCGAGTACCTGGTTGGCTTCAAGCAAGTGGTAGACGATGGTAAAGTACCTCCAACTAACTGGAAAGAAGTGCGCGTGTTCTTGGAGATGGAGCACTTTCACTACGACACGATCCTTACGAAAAACAAGGCTGCTGCTGGTTTGTGTTCCTGGGTGATCAACATCGTCATGTACTACGATATCGTGATTACTGTGGAGCCTAAACGTCAAGCTTTGGCTGCTGCCAATCTCGAGTTGGAGGCTGCAAATGCTCGTCTGACCGAAGTGACAGCGCTCGTGGCCGATCTTCAGGCAAAGCTCGACAAATTACTTGCCGAAGCTGCTGCAGCCGAGAAGGAGAAGGAAGACGCCATCAACGCTGTGGAAACTGGCAACCGCAAGATGAAGCTCGCGGGCACTTTGACAAATGACTTATCGAGTGAGAACGTTCGATGGGGGATCAACGTGTTACAACTTCAAAAGGAGAAGGACTTGTTGGTAGGCGACGTGCTGCTTGCTTCAGCCTTTATCTCTTACATCGGCCCCTTCACCAAGCCGTTCCGCGACGAACTGATCAACAAGCACTGGGTGCCTTATCTACGGACAGCTGCTGGAGGCGAGAGCATCGCCATGTCCGAGGAAGCCAACCCGCTTCTCATTCTAACGAACGACGCACAGATCGCACAATGGAACACTCAAAAGCTGCCATCCGACCGGGTGTCAACCGAGAATGGTGCTATTGTGGTGACCACAGTATCCATGGGGCGACGACCGCTTATCGTTGACCCACAACTGCAAGCAATCGCTTGGATTCGAGAGATGGAAGCACATAATAATCTCATCATTGTGCGCGTGGGTCAGAAGATGTGGATCGAGCGTCTGAAGACAGCTATTGGCACCGATGGAGCGTTCCTGATCGAGAATCTAGGCGAGAAGATTGACCCCATTTTGGCGCCAGTGATCCAGCGCTCCACCTCACGGCGTGGTGCTCGATACGAGATTCAAATTGGTGACGCGTCTGTACCGTACAACGACAACTTCCACTTGTATCTACACACGAAGCTGGGTAACCCTCACTATCCGCCTGAGATCCAAGCTGAATGTACCATCGTCAACTTTACTGTCACAATGCTCGGACTGGAGGATCAGTTGCTGAATCTCACCGTCTCCAAAGAACGCCAAGATCTCGCTATTAAGCGTGAGAAGTTGATTCAGGAGCAGAACAACGGTAAAATCGAGTTGAAAAAGCTGGAAGACGACATCCTGTTCTACCTGGCCAGTGCTGACGACGACATCACCAACAACCAGCCGCTTATTCAGATTTTAAGTGACACGAAGCACAAAGCTCAACGTACACAGAACAACATGGAGGCGGCGAAGAAGACGCAAGAGTCGGTGAACATCACGAGTGAAAAATATCGCAGTATCGCTGCAAGAGGCTCCCTACTATTCTTCCTTATGAACGACATCAGCAAGGTGCACTCGTACTACATCTACTCCCTGGCGTCGTTCCAGCAGGTCTTCCTGTCTGGTATCTATCGTGCTCCTCCAGCGAAGAATCTCATCGCGAATGAAGTCGATGGAGGTGCAGAAGGTGATGCTGCTGCAGTTGAGACTCCAGCAGAAGGCGGGAAAAATGGTGAAGGTGGCAGTGATGACGAGGCTGAAGAAACTGAGCCTGCTGTCCCAGATCTCACAGATGAGGAGATGAAGGAACGTTGTCAAGTGCTGATGGATAGCATTACGTCGTGCGTTTACAACTACGTTCGTCGTGGCCTGTTCGAGCGGAACAAGCTAACGGTCGCTACGATGCTGTGTCTGAAGATCTTGCTGAAAGATGGGCTGCTGAATGATACAGAAGTCGAGTATTTCCTCATTAGCAAGGCTCATCCGGATGCTGGTAACGCTGGTTCGGCCTCGGAATGGCTGCCTGCAGCTATCTGGGCGAAATTAAAAGCTCTCGAGAGTCTGAAGGCGTTCGCTGGGATCGGAGACGCCATCCAAAACGACCCTGATGAGTGGCGAAAGTGGTTTGCTACTGAAGACGCCGAGCGACAGAAAATACCTGGTGACTTTATCAAGCTAACAGCGTTCCAACGGTTGATACTGCTGCGTGCCATGCGACCTGATCGAGTGACCAACGCGTTGCGAACCTTCATCCTTGATTCATTGGGTGAAGAGTACGTGACTCAGCCACCGTTCAACATGGAGGCGACGTACGCAGAGACGAACTCGAGTATTCCCATCTTCTTCGTGTTGTTCCCTGGTGTAGATCCAACTCCATGGGTCGAAACACTGGGAAAAGCGAACGGGGTGAGTCTGGAGAACAACAACTTTATCAATATTTCTATGGGCCAAGGCCAGGAAGCCTATGCCGGCGACGCATTGAAGCGATTGAGCACCGAAGGTGGCTGGATTATCCTGCAGAATGTCCACTTGATGCAGTCCTGGTTACCGACACTGGAACGGCAGCTGGAAGAGGTGGCAACGGAAGGTGCACATGATCTCTTCCGATGCTTTATCTCTGCTGAACCACCTCCATTGCCAGACATGCTGAACATTCCTGAGTCGCTACTTCAGAGCTGTATCAAGGTGGCTAACGAAGCCCCGTCCGACATCCAATCGAATTTACGTCGTGCATGGGCAAACTTCGGTGAAGACAAGGTACAGGCGTGCACAAAACCGGCCGAGTTCAAGGCTTGTTTGTTCGCGCTCTGTTGGTTTCACGCGATTGTGTTGGGACGACGACGATTTGGGCAACAAGGATGGAGTCGAGCCTACAGCTTCAACACGGGAGACCTCACGATTTGTGCTAACATCCTGCATTCGTACCTGGACAACAACGCTTCAGTACCGTGGGATGACTTGCGTTATCTGTTCGGCGAGATCATGTATGGCGGCCACATCACGGACGCCTGGGATCGTCGAACAAACAACACATACCTGGCAGTTCTTATTGACCCAGGGCTTCTTAACGGCATGGAACTTGGTCCAGGTTTCAAATCGCCGAACCCACAAGAATTCTCGTTCGCAGACTACGCCAACTACATCGAAAAGAATATGGTTCCTGAGGCTCCACCGCTCTTTGGTCTTCACCCGAATGCTGAAATCGGCTATCTTACTACTACCTGTGAAACATTGTGCTACACTATCGTGACTATCGGTGGAGGAGCTGGAGGTGGCGGTGGTGGAGAAGAAGGAGGTGGCGACAAGACGGCAGCATTGCGTGCATCTATCGACGACTTGGAAGCGCGCTGCCCTGAGTTCTTCAACATGCTGGACGTGGTTGAGGCTGCAACGCCTCACTTGACTGAAGATCACGGTCCTTTCGTGGTGGTAGCATTGCAAGAGTGCAGCCGCATGAATGTCCTACTTCAGGAGATCCGGCTATCTCTTGGTGACCTCAAGAAGGGACTGAATGGACAACTCAATATGTCACAAGCTATGGAAGACTTGGCGACAGCAATGTCATTGAACGAGGTGCCCGGACGCAACCCGTTCTCGCAGTGTAAGTGGGAGAAGAAGGCTTGGCCGTCGACAAAGTCGCTGAGTGGCTGGTTCGCTGACATGGTCAAGCGTTATGAACAACTTGTCATGTGGGCTGGAGACACCTCTGGAGGAGGAGGAAGCTGCTTCGTCACTCCATTCTCGATCTGGTTACCAGGTCTCTTCAACCCCACAGCCTACACAACGGCGTGCCTGCAAGTAACGTCTCGGAAGCGGTTCATGCCGCTCAATCAAATGACTGTGGAGACGCACGTGACGACAATTCAAGATCCTTCAACGGTCTCTCACTACCCCGACGATGGCGTATTCGTCCACGGACTTATCCTAGAGGGTGCACGATGGAGTACACTGGACGAGATCAATGAGCGTTATCCAGTTGGTGCAACACCACCTACAGAGTGTGGTGGTACGTTGCTTGATAGTAATCCGAAGGAGCTGCTCTGGAGTATGCCTGTCATCTACGTCAAGGCTGTGACCACGTCCCCAACGTGGGAGCCTTCATCCGTGGGCTACCTGCGTCACGACCCCAACGTATACGAGTGTCCAGTGTACCTCACACGCTTCCGAGGCCACACGTACATTTTCTTGGCGACGTTGCCGACCAACTGTGGCAGTGCCAAGTGGGTCTTGCGTGGCGTCGCGCTTATCTTCCAGGACGATAATTAGGATCTGCGCGTTGGCTCTTGTATGTACGTGCCAGCAACTCTTAGCAACTAAAAACCTTGCATATAACAAACTCAATACACACGGAGATTTATCCAGAGATCAGTTCATTTCTCCTCGCTTTTCTCCTTCTCCTTTTGTAGAGCCAGCATCTTCTCCAAGAAGCTGCCGTCATTGGGGATCTCCGGCACACCTCCAGGCGTCTCTGGGACCTGTTCCTTCTTGCCTGTGGTCTTTTCCTCGTCTTCTCCATCCAAATCTCTTGCCTTGGCTCGCTCCTTGCGTCGCCGCCGCTTCTCCGCACGTTTGTGCATTTTAGCCTCGAACTCCTCCGCATTGCGTTTACGTTTCGCTTCGAACTCCTGCTGCTCCTTGTTCTCCTTGTAGCGCTGCTCCATAGCAGCCACACGCTCCATCTCTCTGCCAACAAATCTGTAAGACGGATAATCACTCCACGTAAAGGAGCATCATCTACCTACCGTCTCCTAGACGCCCGGTACGTGTGAAAGTCACCACTGCCAGCGCCAGCGGAGCTACCGGACACATTTTCCACGCGGTTTACGTGGAGCTTGCCGTCCTTGGTGTCACTAGAAGTAGCAGAAGTTGTTGCAGCACTAGAAGTTGCATCGTAGGCCACAGCGGCGCCCTGTGCGTCCTGATCGCTGAACGTCTGCACACTCGTATATCGGCCCATGGACACGGTTCCCAGTGGAGTTTTTGTGAGCTGGGTTACCCACCCAGCCACCCCACATCACCCAATCACTTTCTCGAAAAATCCGGGTTTTCCAGAACCCTAAATCACGAAGTGCTTCAAAGAAACGGTTCCCCATTTTAACTTTGAGAGTGACTATATTGACCGACTAAGTTAACCTTCCCCTACAAATTTTTGACGCGCTCCCATCCGTACGATGTATACAGTGTGTACCATGTATACCATTCAGCCTGACAGCCACTAAATTTCGAACAGCGTAACGATCGTAAGGCTGCAGGAGGGGGAAATGGATCTCCGCGTCCGAGCCGTCCAGAAGAGGCCGCTAACTGGGGCTGTCGCGCGCGAGATCGACGAGAGCGACAGCAGCGATTCTGAACCGCCCCGAGAAGACTCCCAGGACGACGTCTGGCTCCCAACACCCGCTGCGAGCGGTGCTGGTTCGGGTGATGGAGAGTCTTCCGAGGCTTTCAGTGTGTCGGATGTAACCGATTTAACCAGCAGCACTAGCGAGGGTGGTCCCCCCACACGCGTGGTGGCATTACCACCCAACACGGTGGAGTTCGCCTCGTGGGAGGCCTTCGACGAGTACCTGGCTGCGTATGAAGCCCAAACATTTCAAGTATGCGAGATTCATCTAACCTTTAATGAACGGATGTCTGACCCCGCTGTCCCACTAATTTTGTGCTAGCTGTCTTGTAGATATTCAGGGCGCGCTCTAATACCAGCGTGGCAGAGCGCAATGCCAGGATTGACAAGTCACAGTCAAAAGCAGCTAAAATACCAGCATCGTGGGAACAGTATTCGAGGACGTTCGTTTGTACGCACTCAGGGAAGTACAAGTCTGTAGCTACGAAGCGGCCACGCCAAGAGACTCGAGCACAGGGCTGCAAGGCGCAGGTACATATATGTCGGCCTGGTCGGGACTGGTCGGGTCCAGTCGGGGTCAATCGGGTAGTTCACTGACTGACAGTGGTTATATATGCTCTAAAGATTAATGTCTGCGTCCAGGTAGTTGATACAAAGAATACGACGTTTGCTGTGCGGGTCACTCGTTGCCGACTAGAGCACAATCATCGTCTGACAAGCCTGGCTTTCTCTTCACATCCATCGAAACGCATTATCCTCGACGAGTCAACGCTAACTACAGTTGATCTACTTCGAAAAAAAGGTGTCAAGAAGTCTGGTATCATCAGCCACCTAATGAAGCACACCGACAGTAACCCCACCCCAAAAGATGTGCAAAACCTCGTCCAGAAACTAAAGGCTCGCGAACAACGCGATGGGCCTTCAAGCACTGACAAGCGGCTTAAGAAGTGGATGAAGCAATTTGGTGATGTGCCAGGGAACGTTGGTCGAGTTTTCTTGGACGACGTTGGTGGCAAGGTAGAGTGAATGCTTTTATCAGGTCTAATGTCAATTCATGAAGTTAACATTTGTTGTTTTGTGTGCTATTGGATACGCAGAAAGTTGCGACTTGCATCACATTGCAAACAAAGCACATGCGAACACTATTCGACCAATTTCCTGAAGTTCTGATGATTGACGCAACTGTGGTGTAGGGATTTCCAGACGCCGACCTACTTTAGGTCAAGAATCGGCTCGGTCTGATAAACCAGAGCTTAGGAGCCAAGGATCACGGTAAGTACTCGGCGATCTGTCCGGATATGCTATCCGGATAGCCGCTGAGCTCAACGGTCGCCGGAACTCAGCTGAAGGGTCGGTAGAGATCCGAAACGACTACATTTCATTAGATATTTGTATGAGAAGCATAGGATTAAATAGGGGGAGCCGAAAGGGCTCCCAGAAGATAACAGAGCAGAATTTTCCTAGCGTGTACACTTTTCCGGTAAGTCCCTGCATAGGGCTGGATTATGCCTGCCGTCAATACTCGAGAGGCATAGCTTGTAGGGTATTGACTGGTAGCGCCAAGAGATTAAGTCGGTCCGGGTAGGACAAAGTCTCGCTACGCGCGAAAGAAAGTCCCGCATACTCAGCGGGCCGGTACGTCGGATAGCCCGGGTGCCGTAACACTTCTAGCTGAGCAGCCTCTGCGCTCGGTGACCTGTAAAAGCGCTCGCGCGCCGTCGTCCATCCTTTGGTGGAGGGCACAGGGTTGTGAACGAGCTCAGCCGAACCAAACTCGGCGGAGCCTCGGAAGTGATCTGACTTGGTTAGTTGGAACCGGGTGGAAGCGAGCCACTCGTCTGTCCCGGAAGGGCCGGACCGCGAGGGGACCACCCTCTGCGCAGGCCATACAAACCGCCGACCTAACTCGGCGATTCGTTGTGGTTTGTGTAAGGAATCCACATCTGACGATATTTGTGTGCTCTACTACACCACAACTGGTGCCGCGACCCGGGAACAGGAGTGTGTGCTTGTTTTTATAGGTGCCAGCTAACCAAGTTAAGAGGAAGGGAAGAGAAAGAGAAGAGTGAAGATGGTCAAGGGATCAGCAACTCCGAGCGACGGAAGCCCAGCGACGGCTGGAGGATCGCCTCTCGCGGGGTCGGACCCGGCGGATCAACGACTCATCGCCATGACGATGGAGGTGGGACGAACCGTCCAGTTCGACGAGGATGGCCAAGACCAGGAGAGCGAGAACGGAGATGCAAGTGAAGGAGAGTATGAAGAGAAGGCCGAGACCGCTGAGCTCGGAGAAACGAAGACTACCGCCGAGCTACTTGGCGAGGTGGAAGAGTTGACGCTGCAGGTGGGACGCATGGGAGCCCCACGTCCTGTCGAGCGCAACTTATCCGCCGAGCTCGACGAAGGTGCGGACGATGAAGAAGATGAAGAAGAACATGGCGTTGCTCAAGGGGACCGTCCGCCCCTTATTCCGAAAGCGACGAGGAACGCCGATACGCCGAGCGCTAATAAAGTGTTGGCTCGACTCGGCGAGGAGATGAGAACGAGATCGGAATGGATGATGATGTTCGCGCCTGTAGCGATGGCGCAGGCGAAGTGGCCGATGTTAGGTCCCGAGTTAACTCAGCCGGTGCGTGCAGCCAACATCAACCAGTTGGTGGAAGAAACTGTGTTGCTGTTGAAGGCGATGGGCTATCGGTGCAACAGCCGACCGAATAACCTCATCCTGTCCGACTGGAGTCTGACCCGTGGCGGAGCCGAACTCTGGCAATGGAAGAAGAAGCTGAGAGTGGCGTTTGGATTGGAGAAAGCCCCTGGTGGAACGAAGAAGGTGTACAGCCGAGTAGCCGAGTTCAAACCACTCGGCGAGGACCCGAGCAAGATTCCTTTGCCGAAGATCCGGAGACGAAGAGACGTGAAGTGTTCCGCGCTACGCAAGGAACTCCGTACTTCGAAGACTCTCACATGCTGACTCCACTGAAGCTAAATTCGACTCAGCGAGCGCCGAGTCGTGGGCAGCGAAATGTAGGTCGTTACCGTGAATTGTATGACGCTGCAGATGAGGCTGAGGCTTACGAGGAGGATGAAGAAGACGACGACGCCTTCAACGTGAGAGGTAACCGTGAAGAAACCGTGAAGGATTACATCCGAAACTTGAGCTTTGACGCGACTGAAGAGGACTCGACGCAGTACCTCGAAGTCCGAACCCACGTCTCGCTCGACAAAATCGCCGAGTTCGAAGGAAAGCGCTACCGCTCTGACGCGTCGCTCCAGTGGCTCAAGCGTTTCATCTACGAGATGAAGAGCACCAGGATGCCCCAAAGTGCATGGTGCGAGCCTTTCTCGCTATGCTTGGGACGTGCGGCGAAGAGTTGGTACAGGCAGCTGCCGAAGAAGACTCAGCGACGTTGGAAACTACTCAGCGAGGCGTTCCGGGATTATTATTGCTCACAGTTCGACCAATCCGCCCGCACTCGTTACTACTCGGCGAGACGTAAAGTCAACGAACCGATCTGCGACTTCCTGATCCGACTCAACGGGTATGCTCGGACGGCCAAGATCCAGTACGAGAAGGGTGGCGCCGACGCAGCTGACCATGTCGAACACTTCTTGCTGCATTGTGGTGATGACGATGTGATGGATTTGATGTACCCCTTGCAGTTGGAAGACATCAGTAAGGTGGAACAGATAATCAATCGTCGGATCCTCGGCGAGAAGCGCAAGAAGCAACGCGACCGACTCGTGATCGCACGAGGTCGAGATGACAAGCGGAAGGATCAGAGCCGCCGAGATGAGAAGCGAAGTCGCAAGGAAGAAAACCGCGACCGCCAAGTCACTGTCGTTGACGCTGACTCCGACGGAGAGGAACTCATCGATCAGAACCCGCCGAGTCCGTACAACTCCGAAGACGAATGGGATGATGGGGACCAGTCCGGAGGCCACGACTCAGCGGAAGACGACGACTACATAGACGCCGGCGTTTCCAATGATAAAGGAAATACACCGGACCGCCGAGAGAACTCGACGGGAGACCAGAAAGGCTCGAGCCGAAGCTGGGGAAACTCAGCGAGCCGACCTCCGCGACCGTACAACCAACGAGAACAGTCGAATCGTGAAGATGGATCACGCGACAACACCCAACGTGGATCTTGTGCAGCTTGTGAAAGAATGGGGCACTCGGCTCACTACTGTCGACGACGCTGCAAATTCTGCAGACAAGTCCATGAAGGCGGCCAGTGCGAGCTGTTCCGTCAATATGAGAAGCTGGCTGCGTTCGTGAAGAACTCTGTTGACAAGTCGCAAGTGCCAGAAGACCTGCAAAACCTTTACGCGCCGAGTGATTTAAACTCGGCGGCCCGCCAACACTGACTGGGTTGGAATATGCCGGGCTGCCACAGTCAGCTGAACCTGCAGTTGAGGCGAACTTCTTGTTTGCCTTCGTAGGCGAAGCAGGACGGCCCGAGAGAAGAAGCGGGGATGGCAATTGGATGTGTGAAATCGACGGAATTGAACGTGAGCTCGGTGAGTTAGATGATAACAACCGAGCGACTGCAAGTGTAACTCGGCAGTCAGACCAGACTGTGCATCGTACCTGGATAATGAAGCTGCTTCCGGGA